TTCCCCTTTCCTAATTTTCTCAAAAACACATAAAATAACACTTAATTTCAACATTTATTCTCTCTTAATTCAGCTAAATGCAAAGCATGCTGCACCAGTTTCAGTTAATGCAACACAAACTTTAATTTTACATATTTAAGCAGATTGAACACAATCAAATTAAGTTTGGACAAAATGTATAGCAATTATTTAGCTTAAGCTCATTTGAAGCAATTTGAACAAGCAGACAAAAATGTTTTTGTTTTATTTTCCATTGCAATATGTTTAAAGCATTCCAGAATCCGAACAGAAATGAAAGAATGTGCCTTTAGATGAACTTTATATTTTCTCTGAGGCCATGCGCCTTGCCACCTTCTTCCAATCCGTGGGAAACAGTCACATCCGGGGTTTTTCGAATCGTGAAATTAAACCATTTACATTAGTTGAACGATTGATAATTAAGTATAGTTGAAAACTATTCAGGTTAAGTTAATTAAACACAATACAATAGTGTTTTGGTGGTAAAAGAAATATATGTGTGTTACTTTAACAAAAAAAATTGGGTAAAAAGAACAGTGCCACAAAAACATTTTTTTTTTACCTTGCATGTTGTCATGTTACATTAAATAGGAAGTAATCAGTGAGTCATAAGCTATTGTTTTGTTTTTGTTTTTTGCAATTGCATTTGATAACATTAGTGGCACATAAATTGCACTTCACTTTGAAATGTTGACATTTAAGTGAAAATAATAACTCAAAATGTTTTGAACTGCTAACTTGACAAGATAAGATTGTGAAGTTAATCATCCCAAGAACAGATTCATTTTCCCAGACTTTGTGATGTTGTGAAAGACATGAATTAAAACCTGAGATCTGCCATTAGTGGTCTCCAGTGCCGTCCCAGAGAGATAAAGAAACCTCAGCGTGGAGTCTGACATCAGTTTGTGCGGAGCGGGGTGATGTCAGAGCAACACACAGCTGAGCTCACACCACACCGGGGGTGAAAGAGAGGCTAACATGTAGGGCTTGAATGGAGCGCTTTTCCCTGCGTCCTCAGTGACGTATGTAAGAAAAGCTGTGAGGGGACAATTCTTTAATACATGGGGTCTACCCTTCTGATCCAAAGCCTGTTCTTCTGTTTGATGCACATGTGTCATAGCTCCAGCATGGGTCTGCGCTGGTCACAGCAGGGCTTTAGGATTACGCCTCGCTTGTGTGTGCGCCTGTGTAAAGGTTACAACGCAAGTCCTGTCTTCCGCTCAGACGCACGGCCCTGTACGGCACCGCGAGTGTCGCTAAATGTCAGCTCGTCCATATGGCCCCCTGGCCGGCAGATGCCACTTCAGAAACCGACCAATCACGTCGTGGCATGGGCAGGGTCTCTGGGGGCTCCGTCGTCACGGTAGCAAGCCAGCTACACCCACACACACATGCCACCCCGCAGCAAGCCCTCACTACAGGGCCGAGCGCTGGACACCTGCTCAGGAGAGAGAGAGGGCACATCTGCTCCTGCGGGCACCTCAGACCTGCAGCCTGCAGTCCTGTACAGCTCTGATTAATGAGGCAGAGCGAAGGTGAGGGGCCCCAAACAACAGGGGCACTACAGCTGAACCACAGCACACTCTCACTGCACCGGCTGCGGGATTTATCCACACAGAGAGCGAATATGGTGATGTATAATATTACCATCAAAATATAAGGATAGAACTGTTTTGGTATTCCAGTTTAATCGGTTTACATGTATAATGTAATGTAATGTAATGTAATGTAATATAAATAGTAAGTCAATATGTCATGCAAATATAATAGGTTTTTCTTTAGAATTTCATAATTATGATTTTATTTGTAAATAATTAAAGGGAGGGTATGGGATTTGCAAAACGGACGGCAGATTTTGAAAATACACAACTCAAAAGGTCCTACCTTCTTTCTTCCAACACTGGCCCTGACTCCACCCATTCAAAAAACATGGACGCGCAATCATGCATCTGCAAAACTCAGATGCGCGAGATTGCATTTACTCTCTCTCTCTCTGTTCCGGGGCGACTTGCACTTGTGACTTAGTCGGGAGCGTTGAGTATCCGTACAAAGGGGAAACACGCGAGGGGGAGGGGGTTGTGGTGCGATCGTTTGATTGACGCATTTTCTGTCCAATGATTCTAGGTGGTCTTGGAAATGATTGGATGGAGTTTTTCAAGTCCTGCCCGTTCCACGTATGATTAAATTGCTTAATTTTTTGATTTTCATTCATTTCATTTTCACTTTTCTTTTTTTGTAAAATGGACACTAAACATATTTTAAATACATGTTTCTGCTTTTATTGTGCAAGATTCATCTATCCATGAGTAAATTCCAGCGTTTTTGTACCTTTGAAGGGCACTCCGGGAAGGGGACGCCATTTGTGGGAGTGTTCCAAACCAAAGTGGACATTTGAATCCCTTCGCAAAGAGCCCGTCCACAATTCCATTAGCGAAGGGAACATGTCATGGTCACTTTAAAGAAGTAATTTAATCGTTATGGTCATGTGACCCAGGATGACAAGTCATTTTGAATCTAGATATGGCGGGAGAGTTGGAGCTAACGTATAAACAGAACATTATTATTTTTTTTGTGATGCATGCATTTCATTAAGTTTTAAAAAGTTTCATAGCTAAGAAATGTGTTTAATGCTATATGTGTTTAATGCTTAACTTAAAAAACTTCATTGTAAAATGTACATTTATTTCTATCTATCTATCTATCTATCTATCTATCTATCTATCTATCTATCTATCTATCTATCTTATCATAATCATTGCCTGGGCATGCACCGAACTAAATGTTTGCAACCACTGCTGCTAAATGGTTACATAAATGTGTTTTGTTTAAGTAAGAGTGTGTTTGTGTGTGTGTGTTTGTATGCGTGTGTGTCTTCATGTCAGGGGAAGTGGCCTTGCATTAACCCCTTAGCAAGGGGTCACAGGTCAGCAGGGGGAGATTGAAGAACACTTCCACCTCCAGGCTGTACTGGGGAACGTTTAGAGCGCGCGGCAGTGTTATGTTAAAATGGCTATGTGGGAAGAGGTCAGCTGGTCAAAACTATCAGAACAAGCAGTCCAGGCAATGCAAACCTTAAAAAATAAAATCACCTCCCTTTCCTGTATTATAACAGCCTCAGATTTCACATAATATCCAATGTCTTTCTTTTTAAACGACCCAGCCATTCATCAATGCCAGTTTCAGTTTATCCACAATAAAAATGTATGAATATATATAGAAAAACAGGTTGTGGGCTGTGGTGTTTTCGCTGACACACACAAGAATACGCTGCAGCAAGCAAGACCCAACTACAATCTTAGAGGAGTTAAGGGAGTTATCACTTTTTTTCTTTATATTGCACTTAAATGTTTCTTTATATTTCTTCTAAATGCATGTCAATTTGATATTTTTGAAATGTTCTCCATTATACTAAAATTAAATCATGCATATTCCATGCAACAACATTCATGCAACAGTTGTGATGCTTAAGTAAATTCAACGCAGAGTTAACAGTTTGTTTTTTTTTACAAAATGATACGTAATTCATATTTTTCATCCCTTAATCCTATACCTAAACTTAACAACTACCTTACTAACTATTAATAAGCCATAATTAGGAGTTCATTGAGACAAAAGTCGTAGCTAATAGTCAGTGAGAATTGGACCTTAATCTAAAAAGTGTAACTAAATTGTATATATAACAGGTCAATTTCAATATATCCAGTTCATGATTTTATTTTTAATTCATAATTAACCAAACTAGACAAAATAAGTTTAAATTGCCTGGGCTGCTTGTTCTTGTTACAAAAACTAGAAAATAAGAAAGAGATTGAAATCCAAATTCATCTTTCAGGCTGTTGATACAGCATGCTTGATTGCATGTATCGAACTCTTCATTACGTAAGACTTCTGAGATACTTCGACCACTTTTTTCCTCATCTTTCTAACCAAGCACAACAGAGACACGATGTCCCCAGGGCCCCCTGCCTCCAGGGCCCCCGCCCCAAACACAGCATTTTATATGTAAATGAATACCTTTTCCTAAAAAGCTCCACTTTGAGCGTAAAAGATTGGTCTCTTTTGATCCACTATTGCAGGATTATTCATTCTAACTGCCTGCCAGGGCTCCAGATATTTGCCCATATCACAGGAGACTGCACTGTGTACTGGGGCAAATCCACAGCAGTGGGACATAGAAGCACAGTCCTTCATGACAAATTAAAGGACAATAAAGTGAGAGTTATTAGAAAGACAAAAGATCTGAAGGAGTTTCAAAGTTTTTACGACTCTTAAGAATATTCCCCAGTCTCCCTCCTCGAAGATGGAAAACTTCTACCTAATTAAAGTTTAATGAATCATTTTTGATGGTGCACTCACACTCACAAATTAAGTTGTGTACTAGAGCAGCAACATTTCTAGTTAACACCACCACAAAGCAACAGTGACGCTAATGAAATTTGAACCAGAACATTCAGACCCACTTATACTGTATATTTTTGAGCACATGTAATGATCAATATACGTATTATAAACTGAAAATGGCATGCCGCTCAGGGGCGCGTTTCCCGAAAGCATCGTTAGCCAACTGGTCGCAAGTTGGTCGCAATTTCCATTGAACTCTATTGGTAACAACGGAAGTTGCGACCATAGTTGGCAAACGATGCTTTCGGGAAACGCACCCCAGATTAGCAATCAAACGTCCCAGTTTTTTACTGACATCTCACCGTCAAAAAGCATGATATGTCTCGAAGCTTTGCTTCAACGGTGGTCCGAGTGTTCATACCTTTGTGACAGGTTCTCTTGCGAGGTCAGGATTGCAATAATTCATTAACACTCTGCAGCAGGTAAGAGATAGCCGTGCTGACAAAAAGGCGATTACTTTGTGGTCTGGAAAAGTCCCAAGCGTGCCTCGAAAATATTGGGAAAATCGAAAGCGAATAATTTTGTCGCTCAAAAGGTAACATTAAGATGATATTAATTGTAATAAATTGCCCTTAGCAGCTGCTGCTGAAACATGTATTTCTGCAAGGCTCGTTTCGATTTCATATTTCACCCGCATCTCTGAAATCACAACCAGATGTTGTCATCGGCTCCCCTTCCTGTTTCCTCTGCCCGATTCCCACCAAGCGCTGGAACGTGACACTTTCCCTGGAAAATACAATAAAGTAGAAAAGTAATGTACAGCTATTTCCTTTCATAAATTCTTTGGCCCTCTTGCCATGCTAGTACAAGTCTCATGTACATATATTTTAATGGAAAGTAAAGCAGTGGATGGCTGTAAATCGGAGGCTGACAGCTACCACTGGGCTTTCACGGTGTACCTGGGCGGCAGTGATTTATGAGGGGCCGTCGTGCTCGTGCGTGTAATTCCTCCTCCCAGCCTGTCGGCGGACCACATCCCTCAGCCAAGATAGATGTGGGCTTTGCATCATTGCGTTTGCTTCAGATCCATCAATCCTCTTAATAAACGAGTGGATTACCTGTTGACAAACCCATCAGCCTTCGATCACGAGTTGGAATGCATTTCAAATCTTCCTAATCGTCGGAAAGAGGTTAAAACTGACCCACTTTGTGCTTGACGCACCTAGGCTAATTTTGACCCAAAATATATTATGGGCTAAGTGGCCGGCAATAAATTTTTATGTATATTTTCCCTTCTTTTCCATTCGCTAAACACTGAGAGCACATGATTTAGCGGCGTTAAACATCGCTCGATGGCTTTTTGGATTGTAATTTCGTGTAAAGTTCACGTGTTCCTCAAGCGTTGGACTCGAGCAGCCATTACAGCATTTGACCCCTCGTAAATGAACACCTCTTCAAACAGCGCTGCGGAGCATGACATCATTTCCCTGTTTGGAGATCAGAAATGTGAGGCAGGATTGCTCCCCAGCGTTGAGCGGGCTCTGCTCTTTTTTGCGCTCTGAGCTAATTGTGTCTCTTGTCTGTGAAGTTGCTTGTGGTTTCAAAGTCATTTTAAAGTTCCCTAGCAGATTGCACTCGACCCAGTGGAGGGCAGAGGACAGCGAGCGGGATGGGAGGTGGGCTATAGGTGTTTGATGTGAAGGTGTTAAAGAGCTCACAGGGATGTAGAATAGGCAGGGCTAAGTAAAAAAAAAAACTAGTTTTGCTGGGTAATTAGATTTAGACAGAATTCTTCCCTTTTTCCATTCAAATGCTGCTGTTGCTCAGCTGTGGGACCTGTTGAACTATTTGATTGACATAAATGAAGACGCAACTGATTGTCGACAAAACTGCCCAACATTGTTTTTAAGACAATGTTTTAGCCCATATTTAAAAAAAAAATAAAACGAATTCTGCATCTTTTTACCACCACAAGCAACCAATATATTTAAAAATGATTTAAATCCATAATGAATAAAATCAATGCTACACTGTGAAAAAATACTTTCATAATTTGTAATCACAACATATTTTCTTTTGTCAAATCAATTTAGATAATTTATGTAGTTCAGATAACCTAATATTTTGAGTTTCTGGTGATTAAATGAATCTCATTCATTGTATTAACTCAACTTTTCCATTTCAATGAACTTAAAATTGTATGGCAACCAGGTTACTTATTTTTTTTAAGTTAAACCAACAATATTTTTTTACAGTGTATATTGTAGAAAAAATAAATACTATAAAAAATATGTGAATGAGACAAATAAATGAATGTAATTTACTGCAATTGTAGAAAATTAAAACGAATAAAGAAAATACATTTATAAAAAAAATACAATTAAAAATAAAAAACACAATTTGAATATAAGATCATTTAAAAAAAAACATGTGACTAAGGCTCATAAAATAGATAGTTTAAATTTAATAAAACATAAAATGCAAATAAAGAATAAATAAAATAAATAAGACTAAAATAATGGCCTAAAGAATATCAATATGAATATGAAAAGAAAAAAATATATATTGTAGGGAAATTAAAAGAAATAAAAAATGTGAATATAAAGTCCCAACTGAACCCATATTTCACTATGTCTGTATCAGGAATTTCCAGTGTAGACAGTTTCACTAATTACAATGAATGATTTGAAATGGTGCCAGTTCATATCCAATTTTTCTAACTCAAAACTAGATTTTCTGCGGCAAAAAGATGCTTGAACAGCGGTCAATGAAAAAGAACACCAACAGCGGTCAATGAAAAAGGGGCTTGGGTGAAAAGAGCAGAAAAAAAAGTTCTGTTCAGGTTTAGCTGAACCCAGTACGACCACCTGCAGTCTTAAATTGGGCAATTAGAACAGCAGAGTGTTTTCTTAGTGGGTAATGCCTGGTAATGAGTTCAACAGTGCAAATCTGCGGAGAGCACACCCTCCGGCTCACACCTCCAGCCCAAAACAGGGGAAAACACGCAACTCTCTACACCTCTCTATCAATCATCTCGTCCTGTCACTGTCTAATCTCTCCTGCTCCCCGGCTCCATCATCCCTCTCTCCTTCTACATTCCTTCATTTCATTGACCGGATCCCTAAAGCTGAAAGCAGGTTCAGTAACACCCCCACCACCTCTTCTAATTAAGATTTCTCTCGCCCCCTCTAACTTTTTTTTTTTTGCTGTTCTCCCCATCTCCCTTACCAACCCTGGGCCCTCAACACAAGCTGAAAATTTCTGTGGCTGACAAGAAATCAATGGCATCTGGGCGTGGGGCTCAGGTATTGGATTTCAGGTGGGCCCAGAGGTGCCGCGCAACACTGTCCACGGCCGTTAGCCTTCCGCGCCGGAGATGCAGAGTCTTCTGCTGCCGGATAAAAATGTCAAGCGCTAATAGGTTCCATTGTGATTAGCCGAGATAGAGTTCGCAAATCCTCAGCAGAAAATGTGTTAGAAACAATCTTTACAAGGTCTTACGGCCCCCCAACCACCAACAGCACCTCCATCTCTCCATCCTCTTCCGAGATTCCGCTAAGCCTCTCGGCACCAGGATGATTGTGGTTAATAAATAAATAAACGATGGACGGGGGAAAAATAAATAAATATATTAAAAAAGAGAGCGTTAGAGTGACGAGATGTACGAAAGACGCAGGAATATGCATGAAGAGAGAAAGATGCATGGTTACCTGAGGATGCGCCCATCTGCATCTCTTTACAGCCTCTGTCTCACTGCAGGCGATGAGAGCGAGTTACACACTCGCAATACTTCAGCCGCACCACCATCACAAAGAATACTAGCAGCTTTTCATCAACATCTGTGCAAGTGCCCTTTTCTACTGTCTGCTGTACACACAAGTTGCTCTCCAAAGGAAAATGATCGAGATTTGGGTGAAATGTTGCATTTTGGAGTAATGCATCCTCAGTTAATTATTCTGAGATCCTGAAAGCTAAAAATTGACAAGGTTAATAAACAGTTTGATATCAAAGTATAGGACTATATAGACAGATGATAGATAGATAGATACATGCAGTGAAAAATTATTTACATTTAGAAAAGTAAATAAATATGGGGAGAAGAATGTACTGCAATACAAAATTATGGTTCATGAAATTGATTATTGATCAAGTGAGACATCCTTATTATTATTTCCAGAAAAAATGCATTATAATATTTTATTATAGAAATTCCAATTATTTATTTATAGTAGCTCATTAGCTAAGTGATCACGTTAAAAAAATGGCCACACTCTGCAAAATCAATAGAAATATTTAGATATTTCAATGTATTTTGGCTGCTAATAAAAAATAATCGTGTTTTTGTAAAAAAAAAAAAAAATGTGATATTAACGGTAAAAGTGCTAAAAAATGCTACAGTGCAAATCTGTTAATTGGTTAACAGAAAGTTTCCATACTATATAAGGTAAATAACTGTGATACAATTTTACTGTAAAATACCGTTAAATTTACAGTTTTTGAAAGTGAAAAAGAACAACTCCTTGTTTAATTTACAGTGAAAAAACAAAAATTGACATTCCCACAATTCCCTGCGTGACACTTCACATTTTATGTATTTTTGTTGAAATAACTATAGGTTCCTCATAGTTTTCTCATTTAATATCTAATCAGTTCTAATCAGTACATTAGGATGATGATTGTTGGTTGTCAGAGTATTACAGCCCATTCTCACCCCCAAGGCGTCACTTAACTGACGCCTTGGGAAGCATTTGGACATGCTTCAATATCTGACGCTTTAGGCGCCCTTTAGCGTCAGTAAGATGACGCCCTAGGATCGCGTGTACCCTACCCCCACCCCACACCTAAACCTAACCGCGTCCTCTAACAGACGCTTTCCTTTAGCGTCAGTTAGATGACGCCGTAGGATCGCGTCATGTAAGTGACGCTAAAGGGCGCCTAAAACGTCAAATATTGAAGCATGGTCAAAGGTGACGCCTTGGGGTGAGAATGCGTTGAGTATTACAATGATGCAAAACATATCAATTTTTCAAAAGGTTGGTAAATTATTTATCAGAAAATGAAATAGAGTTTATTACTGTAAATTTTAGTTAAGTCTGTAAAACTGAAATGTAAAAATTAACGTTCCTTCAGTATTTTTAAAGGTAAAGTTCTGGCAACCACAGCTGCTGGTTTTTTACCCTAAAAAATACGGTTTTATTTTTTACAGTGTATTTAATATTTAGGCATTGATTAATGAATCATTGGTGCATTCAAAAAGTATTAGACCCCTAATTACTGTTTCATGGGATATACAAAACCTACAACAAGTATAATTGCTTGCTAATTATTTATATCATAATAGCATGGAGTGAGCCCCTTGATCATGCGGTTATTAGTTTAATGTAAAGGTAATAAAGAGCCCCGGTATTAAATTGAACTAAGTTATTAAACAGCCGGCCCCTGTGAATGCAACTGTCACTTAAAATTATTTGTGCTTTCTTAAACACTTCCCGTTACCCCTCAAAAGCCCAAAAGTCCTCTCAGTTCCAGCCCGACCCAAATCAGCCCACAGCGTAAAGGCATCCTATTAGAATGCATTGGATTATTTGGAAACATGTTAACGGCCATGCAGTTGGGACTGACAGGAACATCAGTGTTTATGTCAGTCTTGTCGAGGGTGGAGAACGCAAATGATGGTGTGTGTGAAGTTGAATGTTCAGCAGGGAATGAGAGAGTTTCAGAAAAGCTCATTAAAGCCGAGTAGTAGGCTACTGCATCAACTCTACAGTGTTGTGTTAATGCAAGCGCCACCGGGCCGGACAACAAGCCACAACATCCAGATACACACTCAGCATTTAATGAGATTGATCAAAATAAATGCTGATGTATATATTGATGTGTGCGCATATATCAACCAACATTTGCAAAAAAATATTATATTTACAAAATGTATTTAGTTATTTTATAAGATAAAGTAATAATAAAATTCAAATATTATTAAATTAATATTTGAAAAAAAATACTAATAGTATATACTACATGTAAAACTAAAATTATAAATTCAGTGAAAATGACATTTGAATTATTAACACAATTTTACTCAAGCACACACTGTAAAAAATTAAACCACAATTTTTACGGTAAAAAAAAGGTAACTGTGGTTGCCAGAACATTACCATAAAAAACACGGTAGCAGTGTTAGTGTCATTCACACAAACATTAAACACCATTATGGTAATACACAAGATTAAAAAAATGCAATAAACATTAATTTAACATTAATTTAATAATGAAACATTAATTTTATGGGGGGGGGGACAAGAAAACTATGAAGAAACAGTGATTTCAACAAAAATACATTGTGGGAATGTCAATTTAAAGTTTTTCACTGTAATTTATACTATGAGTTGTTTTTTCACTTTCAAAAACTGTCAATTTAACTTTATTTTACAGTAAAATTACATTAAATGTACCATGAGATCTATCACAGTTATTTACCGTATATGGAAACTTTCTGTTAACAAATTAACAGTTTTGCACTGTAGTATTTTTACCATTAAAATCACGATTTTTTTTTTTTTACAGTGAAAACAACAGAGCAAAATGACCTAATTATTTCTGCATATAATATAAATAATATAAATTTCTGTATTCTTATTCCCATTTTTTATGCACTTGGACTGAACATACTGAACATTCATTCTGCAATGCATATACACTGCACCTTATTCTGTATGGTTTTAAAAATATGAAGATGTCCCTTATACTTTTTTATATAATAATGAGAAACAACTTGTATCGTAACACCTCATCTGTATGTCTGCCATTCTCCCAAAATCAAATCCCTCTAAATAACTTTTACAGCAATTTGCAAAATCAGGGAGCTTCAATTTGCGTCAGGAGCTGCGGCGAACCCTGAATCTTTACACTCACCTCTCGACCTCCGCCGGCATCCTTACTCTAATCATCCGTTTCCTTTAACGGCAGCCCACCATCCTTCCCAAGCTGCTCTGCTTCTAATGAATTTCCTGTCATGTAGCCTCAAAAATGTCAACACTCAATCACACAGTAATTGAATCCTAAACCTGTCCAAATTTCTTTCTCCGTATTTTTTTTTTATCAGCCCCTGCCATTAGAACATTCTTTTGTTTGCAGCCATGGAACTTTAAGCCGTTCTTTATTGTTCATGGGTTTCGTAATGTATCCAACATCTGTGCGGGGAAGACAGGGGCCGTGAGTAAAGCGAAACCATGTAAAAGTTGTTGAACATCCAGAGCTCGTTTCTACAGGGGGCCATTTTGGACTTATCATATAGCACGGACAACTCCCAGAGCGATTGGCCCGTACAGAAAGGTCTGAGAGAGGGCAAGGGAGAGCTGAGCGTTTATAGATTCACACACAACATGCAACAAAACCGAAACAGGGTCCAAATGATCACATCATCTGGAAATGTGAGGAATCAAATGATGCAGGAACATATTCATTCTGAGTAATTGAATTATGGTTTTCTCTCTTTCTCGTTTTATGTAATTGCAAGTTGAAATAAATTAGCAAATTTATAAATCAATATTTATTATATCAATATTTTTGGATAGATAGATAGATAGATAGATAGATAGATAGATAGATAGATAGATAGATAGATAGATAGATAGATAGATAGATAGATAGATAGATAGATAGATAGATAGATAGATAGATAGATAGATAGATCAAATGTAAAACAATATTCACTGTAAAAAACGGTAAACTATCTGGCAGTTGTGGTTGCCAGCATCATACCGTAAAAATATGGTGTGTTACTGTTTTTGAAATTAACAGCTAAATACCGTATTGTCAGCTAGAGTATACAATTTTAATTTAACAGCTATATGCTCTAACACAAAAACAGTAACACACCGTATTTTTTCACAGTATAAGTAATGAAAAAGTAATACTTTTTTTTTTTTAAAAGATCTGAAAATATAGAGAAAAGTAATGATGATAATTAAGTAATGATGGTTTTTTTTTTTTTTTTTTTTCTAGGAACATAACTGGACACACTCCATTTTATCCAAAGCTGAATGAATTTCCACCTGAAACAAAGGGAAAATAATTTTCTAACAAGAACAAAGCTATAGAACATATAGCTTGACGCTCATTATCTTTGCAAAATACATTTTGATTTTATGATTTTTTTTTCTCTAATTGGCATGTAACCTGCCCTGTACTTTTCAAGGTGTGGTGGGTTTTCATCACCCGGGGGCGATTTCAGTGTGTGGTTGTGCTCCCTCCCAGCATCCCGGGAGACATCTGAAGAATGGACCTGTTTGTGGACAGGCTCATAAAGGCCCATCCGGACCTCCTTTTTTATTTGGAGCGTGTGCGGCTGTCTGTGAAACCAGGCCTGGTCCTCGGTGAGCACTTAGCACCTGTAATGAACAGTTGTGAGTCCTCACCCGGCCAGCATGACCCTGTAGCGGCTCTACTACAGCCCTGCGGCGGGACCCCCGTCTGTGGGTCACATGCTTTCTATTTTCCTTGGCCCCGGCTGTTCGTATCAGCTCAAGCTTTCAAGGAGAATCAATCACATGGGGTGCGCACAAGCTATTCAATATGAACTAATTTGATTTGCCGGTATAAGGCAATAAATAACTGCCATAAAACAACACTCTCACATTTGCTGGGACAAAAAGTACATTGTACATCCTTAATTGACTTCAGATTTTTTTTTCTTCTTTTTTTCCACAAGAACACTACAGGCCATCTGCAGTCAATACTAACATTCCTCAACATTTTATTTCTGAACAC